AGTGCCAGGATCAGCGCCAGGCTCCAGCTGGAGTTCAGCGCTGATCCTGGCGCTTCTGCTGAGCCCTGAAGAAGCACCCATCAGCTGGAATGTTGCAGCATCTCCAGGGTCTTGTAATTTACTTTCAGATGCTTGGCAACTGATTCATATTTATGACGGTCACAGTGTCTCAGGGTCATGTGAAGTGACCAAAACCTGCTGCAACCACCCAGCAGATGGGGAGGGGGGAATAAAAACCAAACACCCCCCCACCCCACCCCCCGCTGCCAATCCTCAACAGAAATGCTCACAACAATGAAAACCTCTGACAGGAGGAAGAGCGCTGCCAGGTGGGCAGGCAGGTGTTTTGCTCGGCTGTGGCTTGGAGGGCACTTTTTTCAGTGCCATTGTAACTTCGAACAGTCACTAAGCGAACTGTTGCAAGTCGAGGACTACCTGTACTTTATCCCCTTTTTCCTTTTTTTTTTTTTTGGTCATCAAGTTTTTGACACCTTGCTAGGCGACTGGTGGCACTCAGATACTGCCATATTCTAAAAGTGGTACAATGGGTGAAAAGGTTGAAAAGCTCTGGCCGACTTTCTATCTACCCTCTATGGCTGTCCCCTTCCTTTAGCAATAACTTTCCCAGGATGGCTGACTTCCTGTCCGTTCTCAGCAGCCGTCCCTCTTTTTCTATGGTAGTGCGTCAAGTACTAAACAAATGCCAAATACTGGGACAAGATTTTCGCGTCAAAAGGCACCGAGTCCCAAATTTGATGTTGAAGTACTCAAGTACCCAGGTACCACTGTACAAAATCTCATTTGTTATAACAATTGTGTGTCTCATCAGGCTGTTGCTTGGGTGTTAACAACTCATGACATTTTGATGCTCTTGTATTATGTCCAAAAACCGTTTAGATATGTTGATACCTTGATAAGAAGAACAAGCTCTAGGAAGAACAAACTTGTTCGTGAAGAATATATTTATTTTTACAGTATAATTTACATTATATATTTTCAGGTAGTCCTTGACTTACATCCATTCATTTAGTGACCATTCAAAATTACAACGGCACTGAAAAAAGTGACTTATGACCATTAACACACTTATGAGGCAACTGACTCATATTTATGACAGATGCTTGGCAACTGACTCGTATTTATGACAGTGTCCTGGGGTCACATGATCGGCTTTTGTGACTTTCTGACAAGCAAAGTCAATGGGGAAGCTGGATTCACTTAACTATTTTGCTAACTTAATAACTGCACTGATTCACTTCACAATCCTGGCAAGACAGGTCATAAAATGGGGCAAAACTCACTTAACAACTGTCTCGCCTAGCAACAAAAATTTTGGGTTCCATTGTGGTCGTACATTGAGGACTATCTCCATAGCCGAATAAGCATATTAGAGTCTAAAAAAAAAAAAAGTAACAGAAAATGAATGTTCCCAGCAGTTCCCCACGAGGCCCCAGCGAGAGGCAATCGAAACAGGCTTGTAAGAAACACAGTTGTACGACCATCCATTCTTCCCTAATTTGTGCAATTTTCCACAATGTGCCACACGTTTCTGGAGGAGCCACCTCCCTCGTTTGCTACATTCGCTAACTTCTCCATCAGCCGTCACAAACCAATTTAAAAGCCAAGGGGGTGATTCCTCTCCGGTTACTGGCATATTAGAAAATGAAAAATCACTCTGCAGTCTCTTTTTTGTTTGCTCAAAATTGCTCTTTGTCAGACACAATATGCAGCAGCAGGATGCCATACAAGACATTGTGGTGCATCAGTGACACAGTATTATATGGTGTGGGCCAGACGACATGCTCAATCTAAATATAAAATGGCAGAGGTTGAAGCTTCAAATAACTTGGGAAGTCTTCTGAAGAATGGCTGTCGTATCTCACTCTGACTAAAATTGCTGACAGCATCAACAGTTCCAGAGGGCCAAAAAGGCAACGGGCCGTTTCCCAACAAAAGAGGGTCTCAGAGCTTTTGAGTCTCCTTGGCTGATGTCATCTAGATCCTGAAATATCACTGCTGAGTTTGCTGCAGCTGTGTTATTTCTCTGCCCTGTAGTGAAAAAGGAAGTCATGCAAAGCTGTGTCATACAGCCATTTCCCCAATGGAAACTGCGCTGGGATGATGCTTCATAAAGCCGAGGGGTGGGGAGTTTACAATTTTATAAGGCAAAAGAAAAATTAAACGTTTGGCTGCACTGATTTGGCCCCAATGAAGAAAAATATTTCTAACTCCGGGTTGAAACGAGGGGGTCCTTGGTGCTCTCTGAGCTTGCTTGTTTTCTTGCAGATGTTTCATTATCCAAACTAATTTGGATAATGTTACCTAGTTTGGGTTAAAAGCTGCACTTCTGTTTGTTTACAACTATGGCACAAATAGGCCTGGCTAATGTATTTTTTTTTCTTTTCTGCCTTGCTGCCAGAACCAGTGGCGCCCACAGTATACCTATTTGCTTGTCCCACCATGAGTGAGATTAACTTAAGCGGTTGTCAGTGACACCACAGCAGAAATATTTTTCTCTTTATTTTGGCACCACCCAAGAGCTGTGACATCTGTCTTGGGAAAAAGTCTGGAGTGCAGTGATTGGAAACAATAGGATCAGGATTAGCAATGGAAGGCATCAACCTGAGGCTGGTGTAACTTTTGACCAGCTTGAGAATGAACTGAGAGCAGTACATCCTGGGAGCTGAGAAGGATCTAGCTGGAGAATTCTTGGAGTTGAAGTCCACAGGTCTCAAAGTTGCCAAGGTTGGACACCCCTGCTCTATAGAAACAGATTTTGTACCAGCATCCGGGCACTAATTTATGGATTAAGGTTGCTGTAAACATAGCAGGGCATCCACGGTCTTGAAGACAGTGATATCATGGGTATCATCCCCTAATTTTTTTTTTATTTCTAAAACTTGTCAAACTGGTTTGAAACAGATATAGGCTCATCATTCTTGGCAAAGGAGAATGTCAAGGTTGTGTATGTTGGCAGGTGTATGCTTCTTCTCCCCAATGGTATTCAGAATGTCAGAACATTAAAACAACACAGCTGGAAAACACAATGGACGAGTGCTGGCTCCATGTCTTGCTTGGCATGTAAGCTTATTTTTAATAGTATAAACATAGCTGGCATGTTTGATACTAGAAATTAACAAGGTATCCATAAACAAATTTCTCCAACTTGTATGAGTGAAATTGACTAAGTATGTTAATGGACAGAAACTACGCAGATCTTCAGTTCTGGATATCTTCATGCAATGCTAAATCACCCTTTGCTTAAATGTGGTTTACTAACTGTTGGCAGGGCCTATACTACATGCTGTATCATCAGATCATAATTTACCAACTACATTGGCTGGATTGATGCAATATGTTATCCATTCAGTGGTGTCTGGCTCTTGGCGATTCTCTCAAGCCCAAACTTAACCATGGTTTACTGTCCTGGTTCATGCCATGGGCAAAGTTATAAGCCGTGGCTTATTGGTAGGGTTCATGCCATGTTCAAAGGCAAGGCGATCTTGGAACCCAGATTGCTGAGTGATCTTAATCGTGTAATAGGTGGCTCAGAGCACAGAAAGTAAGTAATCCCAACCCACTCAGGTATCTTATTAGATCTTTGGGGGTGGGGGAGGTTGAAGGTGGCCAAATTTGTGTTTTTGCAATAAACCTGCCAAGGTGGTCTCTGATGCCCCCAGCCTATCTTGCATCAATCCTAGAGAAGGCAGCATCTGCAACATGGCACTCACCATTGGGGTTCACTGTCATTTCCCAGAAACCTCCCTGCAGCTGGGAGCTGCTCATCCGAAGGGCGCCAGGTTGCAGAAGGCTAAGTTGGATGCAGGCCGAAGAGGAAGCAGCCCGCGCTAGGGAAATGACTTCCTTAGTAAAGGAGAACATTTGTAGTGCGTTGTTGACATGAGAGATGTCCTCGGTGCTTCTCTGAGCTTGCAGATGTTTCATTATCCAAACTAGGTAACATCTTAGTTTGGGTAAGGTTACCTAGTTTGGGTACAATGAAACGTCTGCCAGAAAACCAGCAAGCTCAGACAAGCATCAAGGACACCCTTGGTTTGGCCTTCAATAACATTTCCACTGAAAGAATGGAGGCCTTTGAACTTTGGTGCTGGAGAAGACTCCTGTGAGTCCTCTGGACTACAAGGCGATCCAACTTGTCAGTCCTAGAAGAGATCAACCCTGACTGCTCTTTAGAAGGCCAGATCCTGAAGTTGAAACTCAAGTACTTTGGCCACCTAATGAGAAGGAAGGACTCACTGGAGAAGGGCCTAATGCTGGGAAAGATGGAGGGCAATATAAGAAGGGGACTACGGAGAAGGAGGTGGCTGGATGGAGTCACTGAAGCAGTAGGTGTGAACTTAAATGGACTCCAGAAGATGGTAGAGGGCAGGAAAGCCTGGAGGAACGTTGTCCATGGGGTTGCAATGGGTCGGACACGACTTCACAACTAAGAACATTTCCACCATCTCAGACTAGAACGGATGATGTTACCTCGTTTGGCTCACGAAACGTCTGCAAGGAAACAAGCAAGCTCAGAAGAGAAGCACCAAAGGACCCCTCCCCCCAAAAAAACCAAACCCACCCCGATTTGCTTCCCGAGCATCCCCCTCCCTCCTTCCCTCGGTCGGTCGGTCGGGTGGGTCTTCTCCCCCTCCCGTTGCGCAGCGGCGCCCGGAAACTTCCTTTGGCAAGAAGTTGCAAGACGATCGGAGAGGCGCCCCAAGCGGCGGCGTTTCGAACCCAGGACTTTGTTCGCTTCCCCCCCCCTCCCTTTCCCTCTCCCTCCCCTCGCCTTGCAAAAGTTTACACCCCCCCTCGGCTCCGCCTCGCCTCGCCTCGCCTTGCCTTGCCTTGCCCTGGCTTTGCCTGCGCCGGCTCGGTGGGCAGCTCGGTGGCGAGGGCGCGAGCGCGGCGGTAAGGAGAGATGGAGCCGCCCCGGGGCGCGTGAAAGGGGCAGGAGGGGAGGGCAGGGGAGGGGAGGGGAAGGGGGGCAACGGCGCTTCTTCTTCCTTTCGTTTTCGGCGTGCCGGGTCAGGGCAGCGAAGCCACCGCCCGCCGGATTCCTCCGCCTTTTTCGGCCGGCCAAAGAGGGGGGAGCAGAGCGACAGGCCGGCCGGCCGGCTGCCTCCGTCCACCTCCCGACCATGGAAGATGTGAGTAACGCGGGGTCGGGGTTTTCAAAGGCTGAGAGTTGGGGTGGGGGGTGGGAAGTTAAGTTTCCAGTCCTGTGCGCGGTTCGGGCTCGCTGGAGGGGAGGAGAGGGGAGGGGGGGCAATCCCAAATCCGGGAGCCAGCCCCCTTCCTTCCCCCCCCCACCTATTTCCCCCTCCTCTGTTTTTGTTTTTTTAAACCCAGACTTTTGTTTTGCTCCAAAGTTAAAGTTGGATGAGTTTCAAGCGGTTGGGGGGGGGGGGGGGAAGGAAAGGTTCTTAAGTGCTTGTGTGGTTCTGTTTGTGTGTGTGTGTGTGTGTGTGTATGTGTTTGGAAGAGCTGATGGAAAGGGAGGATGGAGGCCTTGGGGGGGGGGAGAGACGAGGGAGGGGAAGCGAAAAAGGCCTTTTCTCCTGCCTGCCGAGATTGCAGTTGACACGGAGCGGAGGGAACTCAGAAGAAGAAGAAAGAAAAAAAAGGCTGGAAGGGTTTGTTTTCTTGGGGGGGGGGGAGGATCAGCCTGGGAAAGCGGGAGGGGGAGCGGTGCGAAGGAGAGCATTTAGTTCTCTGATAGCCCCCAAAGTTGATAAAAGATGATGAATGAAGCCGGGAAAGACGTGGAAAAGTTTTGCTTCCCGCTCTGGCTGATGCTTCCAAGTTTCTCGCAAAAAGCAATGAGATAGTTCGAGTATTGGTGTGTGTGTGTGTATGTATATGTTTAAGAGTGTGTGTGTGTGTGTGTGTGTGTGTGTGTGTAAATATGTGTATGTGTGTGTGTGTTCGAATTTCTTTTTTGTTAACAGTTAAAGAATTAAATGGGAGACTAGAATAGCTATTTCAAGCTTTTTAGCTCTCATCAGCAAAACGCTCACTTCTTGGGATGCAGTGAGCAAAGCTAGGGTGTCTTGGGGCGCCCCCCCAGGCCGATGGGCACACAGCCTGCCTTCCCTCCCTCCCAGCAATTTCTGTCCCATTCAATCCTGTCTTTTTGCATCCTCTTTCAGTCCTTCAGCTACCCTAGCTGTGTTGGTAGGGCACCTTAACCTGTGTTTAAAATAACCATGGTTTATTCATTGCATCTCATTTCCTGGGTTTGTACATAAACTATGCATCCAGCGTCCTAATTTGCAAAACATAATACAATAACAATAATCATAATTATCTGGGAGCTAAGCTAACTCGCCTTTTGGAATATTGTATAAATGTAGCCTGTCGGCTTTCTATTTTCTTTCTTTTTGCACTGATGGGGGGGAGGATGGACTAGATGACCTCTGAGTTACCATCTAACATTCCAAAGATCCATTAAGACAGAGAAGAAAGAGATGTATGAAGTGCTGGACTTGGGGGAACATTCTGGAGCCTGGGATTCACCCAATGTGCCATCCAGTACTTAACAGCATTTCTGTATCCTTTTCTCTAGGTCTAGGACGTGAGCTGCTTAGGTAGTCCAATAGAATAAAATGCTGGCATCCCTTCTTTCTGAGCTCCAGGTGCCAGTGGATATTAGGGGGTTGCACAGTTAAATGGCTGTGCCTAAAAACCAGAGGTAAAACACCCTAAAGGGGCTTTTTCGATTACAGATCCCATCCTCTTTCTCTGTTAGAACTGTAGCTCAGAAATGGTGATGGGGGGTTGATTTAGCATTTGATTTAGAAGACGCTCCTGTTCATCCCTTGCCAGTTGCATTAAAAAGCCTTTTTTGGGGGGGAGATGCATTGATTTAAATTTGCATTTCTTCAGAAAGAAAAATCTGTGTGTTGCTGTCTTAAAGGAAGTATTTCTTCCTCTATGCCGGCAAAGAATTGCTTCCTAGAATTCTAGAACCAAGCCAGGTCTAGAATCAGCTGAATGGAAGGTAAGGAGGTCTTTTTCCTATGAAGCTGATTGACTTATTACTCTGATGGGAGTAATGTGGGAAAGGCTCAGCCTGATGTGAGGAATGATCAGGGTTATCAAGCAGAGAACTTGTGGCTTAACATGTCGTGGGATCCTGGTGGATTGTAGTTTATTCAGGAGCTTTATCAACAGCAACTTAATGCAACCCACGGCACCTATCCTTCCCGTTTCCTGAATTGTAACTCTTGTCTCGTTGCTCTGAGGTTGCAAAAATAGAACTTATAGATGGAAAACTCCAAAGAGACCTGTTTCGGTCACATCATTTTTATTTTATTTTATCTTTAACATGGGAACTTTATAGAACAGTCAGCTCTTGCCTTGCAGCTATCAAACCATTTTTTTCAAAAGAATGTCCAGCATCTTTTGTGCTTCTGAATCTGAATTGACCCTTGTTGTTGTTAATTGCGAAGTCATGTCCGACCCATCGTGACCCCGTGGACAACGTTCCTCCAGGTCTTCCTGTCCTCTACCATCTTCTGGAGTCCCTTTAAGCTCACATCTACTGCTTCAGTGACTCCATCCATCCACCTCCTTCTCTGTCCCCTTCTTCTATTGCCCTCAATCTTTCCCAGCATCAGGCTCTTCTCCAGTGAGTCCTTCCTTCTCATTAGGTGGCCAAAGTATTTGAGTTTGAACTTCAGGCCTTCTAAATTGACCCTAATCCAGAGCAAACCATTCCTGTCCTTGACCTTAAGAGTTTTAAATGATTCATTTGTCTCTCTTTTATTTTTATTTTTTTTTAGTTCTGCTCTCTCTCTCCTTGTACTCTTTTTTTCTCCCCCTTTCGCTTTACAACTCTTCTCTGTTCAAATGGGGTCTGCCTTCTTCTACCAACAAGTTGCTTGCATTCATTCTGTCAGGGCACTTCTATCCTGGCACACCACAAGCCATTTTTTTTTTCTGCTCACAGGGGGTGTTCCACACACACACACACACACACAAAAAGGGCTTTTCACAGGCCTTTCAGCTGTTCCGCCTTCTCAGAAGAGGAAATGGCCTTTTTAATGCTTTATAAGGATATGGTAATGGTACGGTGTAAATCTGCTGATCTGTCTCTTGCTGCCTGCCTGCCTCCTGCTGCAGAGAGGGAAAAGGCAGATATTTAAGCTTCATGCTTAAAGAAATGGGACATTGCTTGAGAATAGGGAGGTGAATCTTGAACTACAATCAGTAATCCACAGATAGCTATTAGAGGAGCTGTCAAGATACACATTTAAACTAGAATTATCAATCAGAATAGATCTGGAAGGGACCTTAGAGGTCTTCTAATCCAACCCCCTGCTCAAGCAGGAGACCCTATACCATTTCAGACAAGTGGCTGTCCAGTCTCTTCTTTAAAAACCTCCAGTGATGAAGTACCCACAACTTTTAAAGGCAAGCCGTTCCACTGGTTAATTGTTCTCACTGTCAGGAAGTTTCTCCTTAATTCTAGGTTGCTTCTCTTCTTGATTAGTTTCCATCCATTGTTTTTTTTTTATCTTGCCTTCAGGTGCTTTGGAAAATTAGTTGATCCCTTCTTTTTTTGTGGCAGCTCCTCAAATACTGGCATATCTCTATCCTGTCCTTCCTAGTCCTTCTTTTCATTAGACCAGATATACCCAATTGTTGCAACCGTTTTTCATATGTTTTCGTCTCCAGGCCTTTAATCATTTTAGTTGCTCTTCTCTGCAAACAGGTTGCCTTAAAACCAAGCCAGGGAATTTATTTTCCTTCAGATATCACAAAGAAGTTAATCCTGGCCTCTCTCATCATTGGCCAGGATGACTGAGAGCATCTCTCAACACTGGTGAGTTAACCAGAAAATTACAGCTGAGCAACATCGCAAGTTTCCATTCCATTGTCTGAACAGCCCAGCACTGGCTTATGGTAGCTGATGATGATTTTCCCAACTTGAATGGGAGGCTAAGCACAGTAGGCCTATTCCTGGTTCCCCTAACCACAATTTGCTCGATTAAAACCCAAGTCTCTGGATTCAGTCCAACATGGAACCCTAAGCTAAACATTGCTGCCTGAATTTGCACAATGCATTAGCCTAAAACATGGCTGGCTACTTTGTGATTCATTCTGTTGTGCAAATCCAGTCATTTCATGCAAATTATTCCTTTCAACCACTCTGCAGCTAGGGAGTGACCAAAGAGTGATTTCCTTCCTGTCTTTTCTGTTGGGAAAAAAACAGGAGTTTTAGCTAAGGTTGTGACATTGCGGTGATTTTTCCAAATGAATTAACACACAGTGCAACTGCTCCTGTATTTTGAACGTATGTCCTTGAGAGCTTAAGGTATATAAAAGTTACCTTGCTGGATTGTTTGATACAGTTTTATGTTTTTTTTTTTAATAACTGGACAGTTAGATGCTTCTGAACAAGTTAATGATGCTCTCATCCTTATGTTATTGTTTGCTTTCGGCATCTGGAATATTTTTTTAATTGCCGAAGGTTTAATTTATTTTTATGGATGGGTTTAATTTATTTTTAAAACCTTTGAGGCTAGCCTGCACCTCTTTATTTCCTTTTTAGACATCCTTTCTTTACTCAAAACAATTTGCTTCTTACTTCATAATGCTGTTTTTATGAGGTGTGACAACTTCATTCTGACTGCAGCGTAGCCTTCCAACAGTGAAGAAATAGGAAATAATAACAATTCTTATTTATATTCTGTAATTCTGCAGATAGTTAAGCCACTTGGAGCTTAACTGTTAATGCCCAAAGTTTTCTCTGAAAAGGGTTTTTAGACCCTTTTTGTTGAAAGAACAACAATAACAAAACCTATAGCCAGCAATCTGAGCTTGTGGGTGGCCGTAAGCTAATGTACAATCATGGCTGTTCCCTTTTACATCACTGGCATCCGCTTCTTCACCACTGTGGGTGTCATGGAAACCATACAAACAAACCTTAGCCTCTATTTTAACTTAATGGTTAGAATGGGAAGGAATTGTCCTGCATTTTGACCTGGTTTATATAACTTTTTAAGCTATTATGTAGTTTACGGGCAGCCCTTGACTTAACGACTGATTGCTTTCTGACTATTTGGTATTACTGCAGAGGTCAAAAAGGGTACCTATGACTCACGTGAAAAATTCTGACAGCTGCCCTTCCCCTAGTCATGTG